TGGGATCCTGGAATCCAACAATACCTACTTTCAACGACTGGCGTGTAGTCAACCACATCGCATCGAGGGGCCAGGAGGGAGAAAGACCACGGCGAGGGCGGGGAGGACAAGGAGCAGGAGGACACGACAGCAAGGAAAGGGCCCGAGGAGGCCCCTCTCGCGCTCTCTCTCTCGCCCCCCTCTTGCTGGCACGCCCAAACGGGGCACGGAAAAGACTGGAGCACGATGCCCGACGGCAAAGTGTCGTCCGGGATCGACGGCGGCCGCTGCTGGGCAGGAGACCTCCAGTGACAAATGGAACCGCCCGCGGCGGCGCCGACGGCGGGGCCTGCTCGAAATGGGCGGGGGCTTCCGTCCGCCGTTGTCTCCACTCGTCAGGTACGGCGGATGACGAGCCAGAACTGCTTGCACCGAGTCGGGCCTGTCCCTCTACATGAGAAATATTAAAATATGGTTTAAAATTGTCAGGGAACGATTTTTTGAATGCTTGAAAGCCATTTGGGGGTATGGTTTGAATATTCATATCTGTCGTCCAAAATCCCCCTGTAGGAGAACCAACCTGGTGGGTCTCCGAGGCTGCAGTCACGGCACCTCGCACCCTCTTCGGCCGCACCGATTCTGGGCCCCGCCCCTCCTGCCCAGCGGCGCGCACGAAGGGGTGGGAGAAGAGGGAAGGCTTCTTGGAAGCAGGCTGCTTCTTATAAGGCGCACGCCTTACATCTCAGATGTACAAGTATACATACATATAGATAAGGCCCACGCCTTCTTAGAAGCAGGAGTGCTTCTAAGAAGCCCTCCCCCCTCCAGCTGCCATCGCCTGGACGTCCTTTCCCCTGCACGCTTCGGTTTCGTGCGTGTATCTGTTCGCGACACGCCCAATGTTTCTCATGGGTCCTTGCCGAGATTGAACGCACACGTCCGAGCGATGCCAAGCGTCCCCCCGCCCCCTTCTGCGCGAGGCTGACTTGCGCCGTCGGCGGGCGCGGCCCGGACGTGCCTGGCCGGCCTCGGGAACGGCGACTTGAACGGCGGCGAGTGCGGGGGCGGGCCGCTGCCCTGCGGCTGCAGGCGACGTCGACGACGAGGACGACGAGGAGGACGCCGACGACGACCACGAGGACAGCAGGCGACACACCACGGCGAGGACGGGCAAGCAAGCAAACAAGAGCCACATAATCCAAGAGTGTGTTGTGCACATGCCACACAAGACAACAGCTGGATCAAGGCGGCCTCAAACGGCGAGGACAACGGGGGGTCCTTGTCTCAGGGGCGGGGCCGAGTGCAGGGTTTGAGCAGTAGGCAGGTGAAGATGTGGAAACTAAGCTCAGCACTCCAGGCCAATGTTTGAATTGGGCTCCACATGTTGGACTTTGGGTCGGAAACGTTCAGCGGGATCTGACGCGCCGCCGAACCTATGAAAAGCTGGGTTTACTGTCCTGATGTGGTCCAGCATTAGGCTTTCGGTCCGATACTGGACTTCGGGATCCATAGCGGAACCTCTGAAACAGCAGATCCCACATGTGTCCATACTTAGTTTCGATCAAATGCAAAGCCACCGGGAACGACCAAAATGCATGACCGCACGCTCCCATGAGAACAAATCGAAAAGAATATCCAAAGATACGGAAGGGCTCCGCAAACACGACACAAACGTCTCCACATGCTCCATGACGGTTGCCCTCTCGTCTTTCCAGACTTCAGTGATGATACTTGGTGGGGTCATGTACCCCTCAGTGTCATCCTCCTCCTGCCCAATGATAGTGTATTCCCCGCCCATGCTCCACTGTTCAACTCCCTCAATCCTTATTCCTTCATCCTACTCCGGCAACAACCACCGTCCTTCGCATGCTGCCTCCACCACGTTCACATCCCTATCCCAGTGTTTCTTCCCTTCTCCATCCGCTCTCCTGCCTTCTCCTCTGGTCAGGCTCCTCGTTCCCCCCTCGTACCTCATTTTCGACCTCAATGTCCACCCCCAGGTCCCCAACACAACCCTGGGATATGTGAAATTGATGGTTTCATCGGGTGCTGGCATATCCGCTTTCTCAGCTCGAAATGGCTTGAGGGGCCCCACGTATCCGTCGCGAGTTGTATCTTGGTACTCCTATCACGTATTCGCATTATTCAACCCAATGTTTTGATCATTTTGAACCGGGATATTCACACGAAACCGAATTTACCAAAATCCTGAAAAATTAGTCCGTGCAAAAACGAACCAGATCCCCTGCAGCCCGCGCAGAGCGGACGATGATGACGACTTGCCAAGCCCGCAGCCGTCGCCACCGCGGCCCCACGAGCTGCCGCAGCAGCCAATTGGCAATTAGCGACCCGCCCCCGCAAGGCCACTCCCCACCAGCAACACCGCCGCAGCGGGCGGCGCAACCATCTGACTACCTACCGCACCGCCCCAACCCAACCCGAAGACCCGAATTTCGGGTTGGGGGGGTACAAGCTTCATATGCGCTTTTTCAATGTTCCCTTTCCCCCCCCCACTGGAAATGGAGGGCAAACCGGGGCCTTCGGGTTGGGTTGGGGTGGTTTGGTGGGCGGTGACCATCGATGCCGCCGTGCACGCCACGTCGCCCGTCGACCGGTTCCTGGGTGAGGGAAGCGCAGCACCCCAGCGGCACACGTTGGGGCTGCGAGTGCCAGTGCGCTTCCGGCCAGGCCCCGAGCGAAACACACTCCGCACCCTGCCACGACCAGCGAGCCGCCCTGCAGTATCGTGAGCCTCGCCACGGCGGTGCCGCTGCCGCCACAGGCCGCACCCGAGGTGACCGGCTCCTTACGAGAACCTTCTCGGTCGGGAACTTCCGGGAAGGAGGACCCCCAAAAATACATGCCGGGCCCAGGAATGAATAGAACGCCCCGCACCCGCGGCCCCGCGCCCGCCCAGGACGGCAGCGACCATAAGCGGATGGCGAGCGCAGGGAACGGCTGCCCAGGAGTCACCCTCGCGGGGCCGTGTCCGCGCGCGTCGAGCAACCGGAGGCCGCGTCGGGCCGTCGCGGGCGCGCGGCTGGGCATCTCTGGGAATGTGCAGCCCGCTCGCGTCGCCGGCCATGCCTTCATGCCCTCTCGGCCGTCCTGCCTCCCGCCCTCAGTCTGGGTTGTCTGGGTCGCCCCCAGCGCGCCGCCCCCCTCACTGCACCCTCCCACCCCCCCATACCGCGCCTAACACGGCGCCCAACCTCATCGGGCCCTCGTGGCCTGTCTGGAGGGCAGCCTGAGACATCTACGTCATCGGGCCATCGTCGAGGCTAGCTTGGAGGCATCTTGGAGGCCATCTTACGCCGCCCTGCAGTCCAGGGCTCGTGGGCCAGGCAAGCTTTGGGCGTGCTCGAACCCCTCTGGGAGGCAGCGTGAAATAGCTAGGATGGCATCATGCCGTATGAGGAACCATTTAGGCGGTCACCAGCTCAGGTGGAATCTGGCTCGGAGGCCCTCGAGCCCGCGTCGCCCGTCAATGGGCCACATCAGAAAAACGACAGCAGACAACGAGGCGAGCATTGGTGCGGGATGGGCTACGGGATGATGCTCGAAAGGTCGCGCCGAACCTATGTTTCCGGGGGGTGGCGCTTGCTCGCGTCGTGCGAATATGCGGTGCTGGATATTAGCTATGAGTATTGAGCATGTTTGTGTTAGATTATTGTCACGTTTGAGTTGAAGATTGTGTTTCTTTGTTCAGGGGGGGATTCCTTTTTTCAGTCAGTAAGTGGGGGCCTCTCAAGACATGGCTTCGACTGAACATTCAGACGGCCCCAAAGTTGCACAAATACGCCTCGGAATCCACAACCGTCAGAGTGGACGAACCGATCGAAGAACGAAAACCTGGGGGCGGCCAACATGTATAAGCGCACACTCATTTGAGAACGAATCGGGAAAAAATGTTCAGAGAGCCGTGAGGTGAAACCAAGGGGTCTCGTTGAGGTTATGAAAAATATCCGCATTGCCGCCGCCGCCGTCGCCGCCACCGTCGCCGCTGACGCCGTGCTCGCCGTCGTGATGGTCGTCTTCGTCCTCGTCGTCGCCCCGCCGTCGCCGTCGGCGGCTCGCAGGCCAATCGTTGCGCCTTGGCTGGCCCCGCCTGGGGCCAGCGGGCTCGCGGCGGCGCAGCCGCAGGCTGCTGCTGCGGCTGCTGCTGGCCGAAGGCGGCGCTGTGCGCGGGGTACCCGCCGGGCCTCGGCGAGGGCCACGGCGACTGCCCACACCATGCGGCCGCCACGCCCACAGCCACAAGAGCCAAACCGCTGACGCCGCTGCGACTGCCACGGTCACAGGCAGCAAGGCTGATGCTAATAATCCGGGTGCTGCTGATGCTGCTACATTTGCTGCTGTCAGACTCCACATTCACAACCACGACGTCTACCGCTGTACCTGTGCCGCACTACTACGAACAGTTCGATTGCGAGCTCGGAACTATTCCACCACTGCGAGTACTGTTTGTTATATTATTTCTTCTATTTCTATACTACACATACGATGAACACCACTACAGATGCTTATAGTGTTACTTCGACTACTGCTACTACGACAACTACTGCTGCTACCAAGACTACCACGATTCATACAAGCACCTGTGCTACTACTGCTACTTCGACTCCTCCTACTAAAGATGTGTCGACTGCTTCCACCACTCTTGACCTCCACTGATCGATCCCTATTGCGAGTACTGCGTTTTGTAAAACGACTAAGAATGCTTCACACACAAACATACACACACGAACACACGAGCACACCAACACACACACACACACACACACACACACACGCACAAACACACACAGTTGGAGTCGCGGCCACGCACGCGGCGGCGCGGCGTAGAACAAGTCGAACAAGCTCGCGTAGCGGCCCCGCTAAATCAGCGGAGAGAACGGTTGACACACACAAACGCAAGGAAATGCTTAAAAACTGCCGCCACGACCTCAGATTATGCAAACATGTTTATAATATGAATGTATATATATATGTATACACATACACAAGAACCATCGCGCTTTTCGCGCGCGTTCGGGTTCTAGGACGTCGGGTGCTGACCGCATTTTTTTATCCTGCAAAGGCTGCCTTTCGCAAAAACTCGAACGAACTATTTAACAGCATTTTGATTGTCTATCCTGCAAAGGCTGCCGTCTGCCTTCCGGTCGAATGGGGTCGATGACTAACCAACCAGGGCGAAAATCACGGACTTGCAAAGGGAAATATGCGAGACTCCATCAAGCATATTGGTGTTCATCCGTTGAAGGATTGCCCGCGTGACTAGTGTTGCACGGCTTCGCCACGCAGCCATATGCGACCCGCCGGTGGACACAGAATTGTGCAGCTTGCTGCGCTCGGCGTGAGCGAGGCTGGACAAACAGAGAACTTTCGAGAGCTGGCAAGACTCCATCCATGCGAGCCCGGAAAAATTCGAATGAATGCCCCATGCCGATTAAGTCGTGTACGGACACGAAGAACCTATACCAACACGGCTCTTGTTTCGCACGTATGGCGCAGAGGTAGATGTGTCTGGAAGATAGCTCGTGCCGTCGCGGTTAAGTAAAGGGAGACAACAAAAGTACGATACTCCATCACGCATTGAATTCAGAGTTTGGAAGATGCCGTGGGGAAGCGCGCCTGGGTGCCACCCAGGACCTAGGGCAAGGAACAACTGGCAAGCACACGCGCCTGATCGCCGCTCAGGACCCTAGCTTTGTTGCACCAAGTCTTCCAGGTGGATGGGGTTGTTGTTGATGTCGCGGCCCTTGGTCGGCCTCTTGAAGCCCACGGCCTCCTCGGCCGCGCGGGCCTGCTCCCGGAACGCCGTGGCCAGCGACGCCGCCTCGGGCAACCTCACCAGCACGTCCCCTGTGGCCCCGTCGGCCTTCACCTCGAAAGTGGAAAGGTTCAGGGCCGAGTTCGAGATGCCCTCGCCGGTCTCCAGGTTGTACATCGTCTTGTAGATGGGGTCCGCCAGGGTGACCTTGCCATCCAGAGTCTCGCCCACCAGGCCCCGGGAGATGGTGCGGGCCTGCTTGTGGGGGCAGATGTTCTGCGTTGCGAACCACCGTCGCGGAACGGAGGTGTCGGCGACCCCCGTAACGCTGAAGACCGCAATCTCCTCCGCCCCGTGCTTCATGGCGAGGCCACCGCACACGGGGTAGTCACCGATCTTGCCCGCGGAGAACCACTCCCAGCCTTCGTCCGCCTTTTCCCGCCGGAAGATGGCAGGCCCTGTGACGTCTGGGGGGCTGTACACGTTCGGGTGGCGCTGCCGGCGCATGTCGACGTACTCTATGTGCTCCGTATGCTGGGTTTCCTGCGTATTCGCGTACTGCTGGAACTTCTTGGCCAGCGAAGCGTCGTACACGACTTCCTTCCACTCGCACTTGTAGGTGCAGTGGGCGTGCTCCAAGAGTGCCTCCAACTCTGAACATATGCCAAGCTTGTCTCCGATGACGACCTGCTTCAAGTACTCGATGCCTCCCGGGAGCTCCTCAAGCCAGGGGGCGGTCCGCTGCAAGTGCTTCGCAGTGGAGATGTAGAACATCAGGGTGCGGTCGATGTACTTGATGCACTCCTCCTCGCTGAGGTCCGTGCCCAGCAGAGCCGCGTGCACAGGCTTCGCACCCCCGTTGCCGCAGACGTAGAGGTTGTACCCCTTCTGAGTGGCGATGAGCCCGACGTCCTTGCCCTGGGCCTCGGCGCACTCCCGGAGGCAGCCAGACACTCCCATCTTCATCTTGTGCGGAGAGCGGATGCCCTTGTACCGGTTCTCAAGGATCACGGCCATGGTCACGGAGTCTTGCTGGCCGTAGCGGCACCACGTAGACCCCACGCAGCTCTTCACGGTCCGCAGCGACTTGCCATAGGCCTGCCCCGACTCCATGCCCGCGTCGACGAGCTCCTTCCAGATGCTAGGAAGCTGGTGTCTCTCGGCCCCGAACATGCCCAGGCGCTGTGCGCCAGTGATCTTCGTCCACAGGCCGTACTTCTTGGCGATTTTGGCGAAGTCCTCGAGCTCTTGCGGGGAGATGTCACCGCCTGGGCAACGCGGAATCACGGAATACGTTCCCGTCTTCTGGATGTTTCCGCAAAACCTGTCGTTCGTGTCCTGGATCTCGTCCCGGCCCTTATCTAGGATGTGCTCGTTCCAGAGACCACCCAAGATGGACGCCAAGATGGGTTTGCAGAGCTCGCAGCCGTTGCCTTTTCCCACCGCGCTCAGCACGTCCGGGAAGGTCTTCAGCTTCTTGATCCTGACAATGTCGAAGAGCTCCTTACGGCTGTAAGGGAAGTGGGCACAAATCCCAATAGGGCCCGTCTTCCCAAGCTTCTTCAGCGTGGCTGCGAGGATCTTGGGGACCGCGCCCACAGGCGTGACACAACCACCGCATCCCGTGCCTACCTTGCAGGCCTTCTTGAGTAGCGGGATCGTTGTGGCCTCCTTATCGATGATGGCCTTCGTGATGTCGGCCTTGGACAGCCCAATGCACGTGCAGACCAAGTCGTCGTCGGCTAGGCCGGTGCCATCGCCGCCGTCCGCAGGCGCAGCGCCGCCATCCCCCGGAGGCGGCCTCTGGTAGGTGAGGCTCTCGGGATCGAGATCGCCCAGGTCGTCCTTTTTGCTCAGCTGCAGCAGCTTGGTGTAATCCTTGGCGTCGCCGACCAAGAGACCTCCCACGAGCTTGGTGCCATCCGAGTTGAAACAAAGCTTCCTGTAAGAGCCCGTCAAGGGGTTGGAACACTCCAAAGAGATGACCTCGGGATCCTTGTCGTCGAACCAGCGCTTGAAGAAGAAGTCGTTGTGAGAACCAAAGGATGCTACGTCAACACCCAAGAGCTTGAGCTTCGTGCTAAGATCGCTGGAAGCGTACTCGGCTGATCCTGGACCATCCACTAGATTCTTCACCACTACCTCAGCCTGCTCGACACCAGGGGCCCAGAGACCGTAGCAGAAGTTGCCGTCGATCGAAGCGCATTCACCTATGGCGTAGATTGACGGGTCTGCGGTGCGAAGTCCACTGTCAACCTTGACACCGCCCCGGCCACCAAGCTCTAGGCCGCATCCTTTTGCCAACTCATCACGGGGGCGGATGCCGCAAGAGACCACCACAATATCGACGTCCAGGACGATAGGCTCCTCCGTGCCATTTTCGATGATCTTGATCCCGACCACCTTTCCCGCAGAAAGAACCACCTCCAGAATCTTGACCCCGATGTGCACCTGGATATCCAAGGCCTCGATCTTCTTTGCGAGAACAGTGCCTGCGGTCTTATTCAGCTGGGTCGGCATCAAGAACGGCGCCATCTCCAAGACGTGGCTCTCCATCTTCAGGTCGTACACGGCCTTCGCGGCCTCGAGCCCAAGCAAGCCACCACCGATCACTGCTGCCTTCCTCGCACCACCCTTCGACGCAGCGATAAGTCCATCCAAGTCCTCGATCGTGCGGTACACGAAAACGCCGTCAGGACGCGAAGCAGGATCGTCCGGCCAATGCGGGTTCTTCTTCTCCGGGATCACCATCCCTGGAGTCGGTGGCACAAAGCAATAGCTGCCAGTAGCGAACACCAGAAGGTCGTAACCCACAGACATGGAACTGCCAGAGGGATCCGTGTATGACACCGACTTGCCCTCTCGGTCCACCGCGACTGCACGGCCATAAATGAGCTTCACGCCGGTCTCCTGGAGGGAGGCTTCAGTGCAGTAAGACAATTTCATCTGGTCGTGCTTGTCTCCGTCGCGGTCCGCGAAGTACTGCGTCAGCATCACGCGGTTGTAGGCCGGGCGCGGCTCCTCGCACAGCACGGAGATCTCCCAGCCGTCGTCGCGCTCCCCCAGCTTCTCGATGAAAGAATGCCCGATGGGCCCATGGCCAACCACCAAGACGCGCTTGCCACCCTCCCCTGCCGGACCGACCGCCAGCTGACCGTCGGCACTAGTTGGCACCACCTCCTGCTTTGGCTTCTTCGGTGCTGGCGGTGGCGGTGGCGGGGCCTCATCTTTAATCTTGTTGGCAGTGACGGCTAGCTTGAAGTCCACTGCCGGGACCACATACTCGGAATCCTTCTTGCTCAGCTGCAAGAGCTTCGTGTAGTCCTTCGTATCCCCCACAAGCAACCCACCAAGCAACGTCTTTCCATCTGGGCTGAAGCATAGCTTCTTGTAGGTTCCTTCGAAAGGATTCGAATTCTCGAGGCTCACGACCTTCTTGTCATCTGCCTCGTCGTACTGCCGCTTGAACCAGAAGTCCGACGTGCGGCCAAAGGAGGCCACGTCAACGCCCATGAGCTTGAGCTTCGTGCTGAGATCGCTGTGGGAGTAATGAGCGGCACCGGGGCCATCCACGAAACGCTTCACGACCACTTCGGCCTGCTCGACTCCAGGGGCCCAGAGACCATAGCAGAAGTTGCCATCGATCGATGCACATTCACCTATGGCGTAGATGGACGGGTCTGCTGTGCAGAGCCCACTATCAACCTTGATACCACCCCGGCCACCAAGTTCAAGGCCGCAGCCCTTTGCGAGCTCATCACGGGGGCGGATGCCGCACGAGACCACCACCACATCGACCTCGAGGATGATGGGCTCCTCCGTGCCATGCTCGATGATTTTGATCCCGACCACTCTTCCTTCGGAAAGAACCACCTCCAGGATCCTGACCCCGGTGTGCACCCGGATGTCCAAGGCCTCAATCTTCTTTGCGAGCAAGGTGCCAGCAGCTTTGTTCAGCTGGGCCGGCATCAAGAAGGGCGCCATCTCTAAGACGTGGCTTTCCATCTTCAATTCGTACACGGCCTTCGCGGCTTCCAGTCCAAGCAAGCCACCACCGATCACTGCTGCCTTCCTCGCACCACCCTTCGACGCAGCGATAAGTCCGTCCAAGTCCTCGATCGTGCGGTACACGAAAACGCCGTCAGGACGCGAAGCAGGATCGTCCGGCCAATGCGGGTTCTTCTTCTCTGGGATCACCATCCCTGGAGTCGGTGGCACAAAGCAATAGCTGCCAGTAGCGAACACCAGAAGGTCGTAACCCACAGACATGGAACTGCCAGAGGGATCCGTGTATGACACCGACTTGCCCTCTCGGTCCACCGCGACTGCACGGCCATAAATGAGCTTCACGCCGGTCTCCTGAAGGGAGGCTTCAGTGCAGTAAGACAATTTCATCTGGTCGTGCTTGTCTCCGTCGCGGTCCGCGAAGTACTGCGTCAGCATCACGCGGTTGTAGGCTGGGCGCGGCTCCTCGCACAGCACGGAGATGTCGAAGCCAGCCTTGCGCTCCCCCAACTTCTCGATGAAGGAATGCCCGATGGGCCCATGGCCAACTACCAAGACGCGCCTTCCACTCTCTCCCATTGCGCGCCGCAGCAGCGACGACGGGAGCCCGTAACTCCCAGTCAATGGATCAACCACACGGACCCTAAACCTAAGCTTGAGCCAAAATGGCTACGGATCGGGTGCTGACCGCATTGAGATGACAATGCGGCCACGGATAATGAAATCAACAATTTCTGTTTCTTCCTGCCTCTTTTTCATTCCTTCTCTTCCGCTCTCATCGACCGGTCGACCGCGAGCTGTCGCCAAGCCATGCGCCAGGAAAAATGCGCGCCACTGCGCCATGTTGCATTACGCTGCGAAATGTCATGGTACACCATGCAACGCTACAAATCGCAATGCCACGAGACAGTCTGCAATGCAATCGTACGATATACTCTACAGTACGCATTGCATGCCATGCCATGCAGTGTGATGGAATGATACGAGAACATATGCTATGACGCGCAGAGCCATATCATGATTTGTTTCCCATGATGAGCGATGCTACTACTTTATACGGTACGCACGGACACGGCACAGCGGGCGACGCAATGAATGACATGCTATGAGCTGCTGAGCTGAAATAAACAGGACGACGGTAACAACAACAACCAGGGGATATGTGCATGACGTTTGTTCATTGTTGCGCAGAGGGGAACGGTGTTATTCGACTAAATCATGCACACTGGGATGCAATAGCCACGATGTGTCATGATATGCAATGCCATGCTATACCACGTTACGCCATGACGTGAAGTACTAGGCTCAGCTAGGCACTGCTATGTAATGCAATGCTATGGCAAGCTGAACCATCGTGCGATGTACACTGACACGGTTCGCTCTGTCGTGCTGCGCCGTGCCATATGGTCTCATGCAGCGCTGCGATGGCACGATGGGCTAGGCGGTTCTTCGCTGTGCACCGGTATGTTTTGGAGGCCTTTTGGGTGCCGTTTGGGGTGGTCAGCGGTCCTCTTTTTGGGCCTCATTGGGGCCTCGTGGGGCCTCGAGGGGGCCTCTAGGCGGCCTCTTGGGCTCTGTTGGGGGCCTCTGGGGGCCTCCTGGAATCCTCTTGGGGCGGAAGGCTCGAATTGTCGGTTCGTGCCCCCCCTCTTGGGCCCTTCTTGGGGCCGTCTTGGGACCCTCTTGGGCGATATTGGGCGCCTCTTGGGCCGTCTTGGGGCATTCTTGGGCCGTCTTGGAACTCTCTTGCGCCGTCGTGGCGCCCTTTTTGGGTGCCTTTGGGGCCGTCTGGAGCAGACTTCTGGCGCCCCGTGGGCTCTTGGACCGTCGGAAGCAGGAAACAACGAGAACACAAAACAAAACCGTCGAAAACCCTCGACAAAACCTATTTGTTTCGCCTCCTGAGTGCCTCGTGGTGGTCCCTTTGAGAGCATCTTGGTCGTCTTGAGGCCCTCTTAATCTTTCGCCTGGATATTCATATCCCTGCAAGGTGCACCGTTGATATGTCATGATCAGTGGGCTTCGCCGATGACATGGGGCAGAAAGGATAACGCCGTCAGGCATTACCTAGAAAAACGCTGAAGGGAGGAGACCGGCCCGCCGGCCGACGCACGCGCGCGCCGCAGGCTCGCTCCATTTCCGTTTCCCTAAAGCCAAAGTGTAGCTGCAGGAAAGAAGCAGCCAGTTCAGCAGACAGTGCATGCAAGGCTAAGGAGCAGGATGGGCAAGAGGATGGTGGCGCGGAAAAAATGCATTGACTCCCACCGCGGCGGGATCCGTAGTCGCCCCGACCCCCGACCCACCTGGCCTGCGCATATGCACAGCCAGCGGAACGAAACCCAAAAGCATTTTACCGCTCAGCGGTGGTTGCAACGGGGCGGAAAACCGAAGTAACCCGACGTGTCCCGCCTGAGCTAATCTTTCCCAGCTCAAGCCTCAATGCCCGCGCACACCTGGTGCACCCACTTCATGATGAACTGTGGACCGGCACCGACGAAGTCGCACTGGTCCTTTTGTACTGCATCAACTCTGCCATTCATCTCTCCATTCTCGAGAACCATAACACGTGTCTCTGTTGAACCAGTTCCAATAGTGCTGATCTTTTGAATAATTCTCATATCTATATTCTCCTCTGCTCGAGCTCCAGCCGTTTGGCTGACTCTTGCCCCGGCCTTTCTCAGGCGGCCTCGCCTTCGGCGCAGGCGGCGGCGGAGGCTCTGGCAAGGTACTCGGCGTCCCAGAATCACGTTTGAACTTGTCGTTGTAGTCGTTCAAACTAAACCAATGCCAGGTTTAGGCATGACCAATGACATTCTGGTGACGAGATACACGTACGCAGTACCCGTGAACTTCTCCATTCCCATTTTTGCCCGCATGGTCGGCCGTCGCGTCGCAGCCGCCGCCCATGGCCGGCCATGGGCCGGCCATGGGCCGCCGCCATCGCTCTCGCGGCCGCCCGACTCTACAATGGACTCATCTGCCCAAGACTGGGCCCTATCATAGTTACACCAGCCAGAACTGGCGCTCGACGCGGCTGGGCCGGCGGGCACGGGGGCATAAGGAGCGGCCCTGTGGGGTTGCCCCCCCCCCGATACCTTGGCGTCGACGCTGGGCGAGAATGCCGCTGAGCTCGCAGCCCCGAAGCGGCGGCGCCGCTCGGGGCGTCCTCTTCAGCTATCACGATTGCAACATCTGCTGGAGACTCAGCTGGATCGTCTCTGCGGGAGTCGGCTGGGCCGCTCTCCTCATTTTTCTTCTTCAGGCAACTGGCGATTCCAGTGGCATTGTCTGCGCTGAAGAATCAAAACGGCGGTTGGCCAGACAGATCTCGACACTTGAGCGAGGTTCCGAGAGAGCATGCATGAAGACAATGGCTTCCTGGATACTCAAGCAAATATGTCTGGCGGTCTCTGATACTTTATCTCCCTATCATTTGGCCCATTCACGAAGAAGGCCGAATGATCCAATGGCGGATCAAAAGCGACAACACAAAACATGAGCATCGCGCATAGCTTCAAGAGCTGCATGCGTATAGATTGAGTCGCGCTGTACTTCGCATCCCGGAAATGCAACAGTGATTCCCGCAGACATGAGCAATACTATTACTTCTCGTACATCTAACAGTATCCATACCGATCTCCCGTGAGTGGGGTCCGGTCAAATGCTCGGCTCCATATTTTATTCACGAGCTCGGACAATTCAGGCGGCACATCATGAATAACGACAGTGTCGAACGGCATCGTAGTCGGGGATGTCGATAAACATTCAAAAATGAATTGTGTCGCAACTTTGATACTTCCAGGCCTACCATATGGGTCAACATTGTGCTTCGTGCTAGACACAGAGCCAGAAATGATATAGAAATCCAATCAAGGCATAAGGGCAGCGCTCGCGTCGGGAAAATCAGCCGACGATGCTGGGCAATGCGTTGATTGCGTACGCCATCCTACAACGCAGCTTTCGCTTCACGGGCTGAGATCGCTTCATCAGCGCGGCAAGGTCGATACGGAGTTCAGCAATGACCTGGAAGACTATCTCCAACTTTGTTCGATACGGGAACTCGGTTGGCTTCGTTCAAATCATCCGTGAACTCTTGAGCCGATGGAATGGTGACTCCTTTTTTCGCCATTTCTCGTTCCTGTTGGTCCCAGCCCGTCTCTGGACGAATCAGCTCAGCACCCACGTGATTCCAATCGAAAACGGGCGAGCGTATTGGTCCACATCTGGCGTCCAGATTAACGGCCACGGTTGGGGCATCCTCCCCATGCTGGAACTTCAGCCACTCAATGAATCGGAGCTTGAGCGGTCCCAGATACTGGAGAATGGCTCATGACGCGCCGGCGGCTGTGCCGTGGCGCTGTCAGGTTTCCAGGAAGGGACGGTCCCCGGTTGTGCATTTGCAGACGTACAGCCTGCCGAAGCAGCCTGGAGACGCACCTGTCGGTTGTTAACCCACTTGCGCTGGTATTGTTGAGATTTGTTTAAATTTTCCAACGCATCAGAAGAACTCTTGCTGTTCGCATTCAGCCTGTTAGAAATTATATTGGAATCGCTTTCCCCTCTGGCGGGTTGCGTCTAGGCGTGGAATCAGTCCTAGGCTCGCCCACGCAGCAACCAATGCATCTCCGCCAGGTGGCGTTAAATAGTTCACACGGACGTTGTGCGATGTACGTGACGGGGGCGAGGCATTGCAGACAAGACCCGAAACCAGCCCTCACAGCATGGTATTGATGGCAAATGTACCTCCCATCGTCAGTCCACATTTTCCGCGCGATGACGGCCGTCTTCTTCTGACAGTGTACTCTGCCCTAAATCGGCTACTTCTTCGTTGGAAAATGCCCATGTTCTAATTGTGCCTTGCGAAACGGCCACCTCATATGCCGTCCATTCATGAGAAAATATTATGTCCCAGGCCATGTGCCGGGTGTTTCGTGCCTTCTGTTCAACCAACGACAAGAGCACAATGCGAGAGATGTCATTGAAGCGGGCTTGTCCTGTTGTCACAAGAGCGCCGTCGGGGCAGATGCGATGCCTTAGGCGGGTCACCACCCGCCCGTTAAAGACAACAACATATTGCCAGTTCTCATTATGTGTCGCATCAGTTTCCCAAAAAGATGAGGCACGTTCACGAGGCCAAGTTCCCTGAATCGGGGGCCCGCCCCCGGCCGGGGCAGCGCCCGCGGCCTGATAGACCTTTGCGAGTGAAGCCTCGCAATCCTTCCGCTGGCTGAGCCAGCGAGGGTTGCGCTGGTGCTCGGCGTATTCCGCAAGGAACTCGCGCCTCGTCTGTATTAATCTGAGAAGTCCGTCATCAGGCCCCTTGCGCAATCAAATGAGCTTCTTTAGGTACTTGATTGTCCCTGAGCCTAGCGTGGACTCTTGCATGGATTCAACGCCCAAAACGTGTAGTAAGTGCCCATGGCATTGCGCCATTCCGAATTCATTAGGCGCATGCATGCGTGCTATGCTGTGGGCAAAACAAGAGTGTCATTGACATGCACGAAAGAACGCTGGTGCGGGCCTGCGAGCCCGTCCGGCTCGATCAGTGGAAACAATTATATTTCCATTCTCCTCATCAACATCTGCGTCGTGCGAGGCGTCTGGATTCAAAGAAGACTACCAGCACTCCATTAGCTCTGTCTGGTCAAGAAGCATAACGTCATCAGCCTTTATTCCGAGGACGCCAGCTCCCCCCGATGATAACATTGTTAGACCATGTGCGGCAAGAGCAATTGTGGCATGAG